GGTTGTCTTGGAACGTGTGAAAAAATTTCTTCGCAATCATATGAAATTCCTTTGAAGATCTTAAAAGTATTTCATATGATCGAAAAGACAACCACCAAGTCGAATTTAATAAGTTTATTGCCATTATAACGACAAAAACTGGTTATTCAACTTTACTTAGAAGCACAAGAGAGGTTTGCTTAGTAAAATTTGGTTTAGACCACTGACAGTGCCAGATTCTTATTTTTTTTTTTTTTTTTTTAAAAAAAAAAAAAAAAATAGTATAAGATCACGAATTAATAATTAATTATTTAAACTGAATATATTTGTAAATTAAACTTTTTTGAAGTGATTTTTTTAACAATCTCCAAAGGCCTGATACGAAGAAGTTGACAGTATATTTCAAAGAGCTTGAAAAAAAAAACGAAGTACTTATTAACTTATCATATTGAAGTTACAATGGTCTACGATAAATTTGTAAACCCCAGGAAAATTTGAACATCTGTCGACTTAAACTATTTATAAATCTATAAATTTTCGTATGTATAAAATTTTACATTACAATGGTGTCAGCTTTTTAAGTTCGAAACTTACATACAGTAACTACACAGGTTTGTTGCCTTATGATCTTGCGTATTCGATTTACAGAAAAGCCGTATGAGAAATTTAAGGTAGTTATTGAGAACGGCAGGGTGGCTCATTTACGATTTTGTATTTGTTGTTGTCTGCTTTGTTAGTAACTTCTTTTTCTACATTTCTCTCATTCATATCCTGGTTTACACACAGAATTCACATAAATATGCTTATATCATCACAGAATACCGTATAATGTAGAATAATATAGATTCATCACATAATTTGCACCGTTTTTTGCTGTACTGGTCAAATTGAAGAACAAATTATTTCTATTGGTAACGTTATTTTTCTGATGTAGAATTTGAATGAACTAAGAGCAGGGTTATGAAAAATTATTAACATAAACTAAATTCCGAAAAGTTAATCTCACATAATTCGCATAATTTGGTCTTGAATAACCACAGAACAGAAAATTTCAAATATGGTAAGGCCTTACAAAGTTAATTACTTGATTTTCATAACATGAAATTTTTATAATTCACCCGGTTAATTAAACTTTGATCCACTGGGTTATGAAAACCAATTAATTAATTTTATATGACCTAAAATAAAAAAAGGAATAAACTTAGTATAATTCATGTTATAAAAAAATTTATTAATATTTTGCCTACATCATATATTGACTAATTTAATTAACAATTAACCACAATACGTTCATACGGTACCAAATGAACATATCCTTCTAAACTTTTCTCAAGTTTATCCCTAATACCATTAAACATGCTGGGCATGTTAATTCTTGAATATATGTATACTTCATCCAAAGTCTTTCTTCGTTTACGAAATTCAATTAACGCTTCTACTGTTTTCTTATAATGTTTATTATAATCAATACCAAATAATAATTGTTTTAAAGGTGCATTACAATTATTAAGTAAGATATTAATATGTAAATTTGACCAAAGCCATACTAAATCAAGATATAGTAATGTTATTGGTAATATTTTAGAAAATTCCATAATTCGTTCATCAGTTACTTCTTTGGTATTTATCCATGATAATGAAAGAAATTGAAGTTTTTGTAAATTACCAATAAGTTCTAAAAATTGACTAGAAAGTTTAATACGTGAAATATATAAATAAATTATATTAGGGCAAAAAGTTAAAAGTGTTTCAAATAATAAATTTTGTGAATAAATTTCTTCATTCGATTCAATTTTTAATCGTTGTAATAATAAACCAGATTTTTCCAAAATTTTCAATATATTAGATGTATCAAGTTTTGATAAAGATCTTATTTCTAAAGTGTTAATTCTATAATGTCCATTATCTAATATTTTTAAAAGTTTCATATCTTTTTCACAATAAAAAATTCTAATAACTTTTAATTCCTCACAATTAATTAATACCTTAAACTCTTCATTAGAAGGACAAAATTTTATTGTAATTTCTTGTAATGAGCTTTTTTGACTTTCTAAAGCTGAAATAATTCCACGAAATTCTTTTATATGTGATTCATCTCCACCTATCAAGTTAATTCGTTTAAGCTTTTCTTGTGATTTTATTATACATATTAATCTATAATATAATATTGGTACATAATCTGGTTCAAATTGATCGAATGTTAAAGTATTAATTTTCTTGCAAATTTTTGCCAAAATTTTTGAAAATGTATAAATGCTTTCATTACAAAGATCAATAGATAAATCTTGAAGTCTTGAAAAAAATTGTTCATTTTGTCCTAATGAATAAAAAATTTCCGGTTTAATTTCAATTAAATCATCAGGAGTATTTAAATGAAATTTAAATAAAGTGGCACCACTTTCAATAAATAATTTAATTAAAAAATTAACTATATTATTTGGTAATATATAAATATTATTTTGTGAATTAGGAATCTGAGAATTAATCCATTGTTTAACTTTTTGTTCTAAATATGATAGATCAAGAACTTTTAAAAATTTTGCATAATAAAATAAGGTATTAGGAAAATCGGTAATTATTCCATATTCTTTTAAAAAAAATTTATCATCTTCATCTAAGGATGAAAAATATCTAGATATATATGTCGGTTTTTGATCGGATGAAAATGGATCTCGCCAAAGAATAGGAATTGTCATTTTACACCAATGCCGACTTACGAGTACACATGAATATAAAGAATAAAATTCTTTATTCAAATTATTAAGAATTTTTTCCATCAATTCGGGCATATCACCCATAAATATTTTGGATGCCATGAAAAAGATATATAATTTGTATTTGGTATTTAAATTGAAGTAATGTACTGTACGTACTAGAAATTACACATTATATACGTAGTGGTTCATCATATGTTTACGCTTGTAACACAAATACAAAAAGAAACTAGGGATGTTAAGTGGTCCGAAAGGAACTGGTTTGGCTCTGGTCCTGAACCAGGCTTTTTAGAACCGGTTTAAAACTAGTTCCATAATATTGATCTAACGTAACTGTAATAATTCTGTGTTTTTATATTAAACTGCTAGGTGTATTGAACTAGTGAAAGCTATTGTTATTTTCGCGGGTAATACAAATTCCTAATTTAATTCTACCATTGCCAATCATCTATCTTCTCCACAGGACTTAGAAAAATTTAGACATGAGTTTATTAGAGTATTGGAAAAAATTCCTTATATATATATAATAATAAAATTCAAAATACTTTATATCTCTAATTCAGTAATTCGTTATACAAATTTACAGATTGGTTTTAAAGTCTGTCTGTTATTATATGTTACTAATCTTTTTTATAGTTATTTACAGATATAGCTTTAATACTAAAAGTAATTATATAGTATAAATATTAAAACTTGAATAAGGATAGTAAAGCTTTATACAAAGATAATAAAATATTGTATAAAGTATTATATAAAGATAATAAAATAATATATAAAAATAATAAAAATATTATATAGATAATAATTTTAATAATTTTAATTATATTATATTAAGAAAATATACCAAAATACATAGATTTAAAAATAGTTATAAAGCAAAATATAGCAATTCAAACAATTAAAAATATAGAAATAATAAAAAAAAGTAATTTATTAGAATTTTGTTATAGAAAAGTTATTTATAATATAAATCTTTAAAATCTTTAAAAAAAAAATCTAAACTTATATATTTATATAATAATAAATATAACTATAAATATATTATATAACCTATAGAAATCTAAAAATAGATCTTTTCTAGTTTAAAAAACTTAAAGTATTTATAAAAAAAAATAAAAATATTAAGTTTTATGTTAGAATATTATTTTAGTATAGATAAAAATTATTTTTTATCAACTAGTTTATTCTAAAGATCTTTATATAGAAATTTAAAAATATAAGTTATTAGTATTATATAATAAAACTAATACAACATACTTTTACAAGTTAAATAATACAAACTATGTTTTATTTTAACTTTAACTCTAATCTTAATTTACTCTAAACCATATCATTTTATTTAATTTGTTTGTATTTTTAGATACTATTACATAATAGTATGATGTATTATAATAATTTTATTCAAATATCAAAAAAAAAATATTTTTTTTTTTTTGAAATTAGTAAACTTATTTGTTTTTAAAAAAATCTATAACTTACATAGCGTGTAACCACATTTATAACGTCAATACTAAAATATATAGTTTTTGTTTTTATAAATATAAATAAGAGTAAATTGAAACCTGAAAATCAAAATGATTTCAATCATATACTTTGAATGATTCTAACTATTAAAATAGTATGACGACAAAACATAAAAGGTATGATTACAATAAGAAGTTTTTTTGTGCATGAATTACGCGCAGGTTTTTTTATTACTCTAACGCTAAGGAAGTAATTAACCGGTAAAAAAAAAAAAAAAAAAAAAGTCAATTAAAGAATTGGTGAAACGGGTTCATTCAAGCACATAAATAAATTTTGAAAAGATTTGATGATTATTTTTAGAATTTATTTACAAGATTTACAAAAGTTCCCTATAATAAAATAAATATGAACAACCGAAAAAGGTATTGATAAGAATGTATAACTATATAAATGACAAATTGGAAAAGATCAAGTTCAAATTTTATGTACAAAAGATATATTAAAAAAAAAGTCATGTTGTGAATTTACCCTAAACCTCCTAAAACCCGATTGCTTAATGCACATGTAATGTTAATCAAAAAAAAAAAAAAAAAGTTCCAAATAATCCACCAAGTTAAAAAGATAATCAAATAATTTACAAAGGACCTATTCCCAAAAGATAAATGAAACAAAAAAATAGAAATAAAATTATTGATGAAATTAAAATAAAAAATTGAAATGAATATATGATGAATTGTAAAGTTGAAGGTTTAGTTCTAGATTTTACAAATAAATTAACGATGATTAATAATTTGAAACATAAAATAAAATTTATAAATGATAAATATAAAATGATAAAATTACTTACAAATTTTTTGAGCGCTTTTTTATAAATTTCTTATTTTGAAATTGTACAAATGGTTTATCAACATCTAATTTCTTTTGTGGTTTAATAATCTGATCATCAGCAACTTTTGGTAGAGGTTTCTTTAACTTCTTAGAAATAAATGTTTGATCTTTTCCCACGCTATCCGAAAAGCCAATTTTTTTACAATCGTCACCTTTTTTAGTTTCTTCAACCGGAGATACACAAGCATATGAAGAACATTTATCGATGGAACTTTTCTTTGCCAAAATTACAAAAAAGATGATCCATTGTCTATTCACTTCGTACCACTCTTTATGGTTTTTAACAGCTTTTCTAAAAATTTCATCACCAATCACGACATTTTTTTGATGAACATAATGTAAACCAAGATTAATGGCAGTTGTTTTCAAATTTCGTAAAAAAAGTTTATCGTTATTAATAATATTGCTCTTTAAGAAGTCATGGTTAAGAATATTGCTCTTTAAGAATTCATCATTAAAATGTTGAAGATGAGCGAATAAATCTACCAAAGCTTTTCGTTGTAAATGGTTTAATTGATAATTATTATAAGGCATTATTGAATATTAAAATCTAAAGGTTTTTTTTTTTTTTTTTTTTTTTTTTTTGTAATAAGAAGAGAGAAGGTCTATTAAAAAGTAGGGCAAGAATTTACAGCGCAGTACCGGTTATTTAACAAGAAAGAGAAAAAATTTTTTGTAACCAGTTTTTTTAGACAATAATGCAATGACGGGACGCCGAACCTTTCAACACAATATTCGGCATTGTTTAAGAAAAACCAGAATATTTTCTGATTTAATCCACTGTGTAACCGAATATCGATTCTATCTCGGGCGAATCATACAATTACACAAAAAGAAAATCAAAGAACAATGAATCGTTTGGGTAATAGTTTTAGTAGATACAAAAGATAAAAAAGATAAGGAAATTAAGTCACCCATATCAATATAATTAACAATCGCTTAACATTAAGCATTCTCATGTATATATTTTAATTAAACATAAGTTAGACTAGGAAAGTAAGAAACTTATTTATGCCTCAAAGAGATCATATTTCTTTGTACACGGAAAACATCAAACTAAAAACGAACTTAAATTTTAAACTAACACAAAGATTCCAAAATTCCAAAATTACCAAATACTTTTGATGAAAAACTTTAATGATAACGTAAGTTATAAATATGTCCTACTATTTTCGGAAAGCTTCATGTAGTGCCCCAGTATCTGTTCGGAGAGGATCGGAAAGTTAATGATAGAAATGAATTTGGTAATTTGAACAAGAAAACTTTTTTAGATTAGGATGTTTATAGAATGTAGTGATACTATTGTGACATGATCAAGATCGAATCTCAAGCTGTTAACATAAAGTTTTGATTTACTGTTACATGATTTTACAAACCCCACACACACACACGTTGATAATTTTTTTTTTTTTTTTTGATTTAAGATTTTAATTTGTACGATATTCTTTGCATATCTTTCATTCTCTTGAACAAGTTTTTGAAAAAAAGCGATCATTAAAACAAATTTTTTTGATGTAAATGTCCATTATCGAATATTACAACTGTTATTTTGCATTAGTATTGTCGGCAAAATTTATACCCTTTTGTTAAATAATCTGCAAACTTAAAACTCTTAAATATTAGATATGAAACCTAACAAAAGGACTAAGTAACTACCTAACTAAAATAATTTTTACATGTGACAGGAATACATATTTGGTTCAAACAAAAAAAAAAAAATTTTTATTCAATTTATTGAATAATGTTACAATACATTATCAAAATCGGCCGATAATTAACTGTCTTGTATAAGCCCAATTATCTTTTAATATATAATATCTTTTAATATATAGATAATCAATAATCTATAGAATATTGTCATTTCTAATCAGCCCAAATACTTGTAATAATGGAAAAAGACTCATTTATTATATATTCATGGAAATTTTGTATATAAAATTGCGTATTACGTATTATCAAACAAACAATGTGAGCAACGTAATAATGGTAAGATTACGTATTAAAGATGTTTACTAAAAAGCCATGATAAAGAGGCTGCTACATTGTTTACTATTACAAACAAATGAAAATTAATTTTAAAAATTGACTGATTCTATCAACCTCTAATTTAACCACCAAAACCATAGAGGGTGCGACCTTGACGTTTAAGTGCATAAACTAAATTTACAACCAAAATTATTTATAATTTAATAATTTTTTAATAATAATAATAAATTTAAAAAAGCAACAAAATGAAAATGATGCTCACCAACATCAAGAGATGTTACAGTCTTGCGTTTAGCATGTTCGGTATAGGTAACCGCATCTTTATAAAAAAAAATGTTATGGTATCATTTATAAGTGTAAGTTTCTAGTTGAAAAAAAAAGTGCAAATACTGTCAATAACTTACTAGTATAACGTTTTCAAGAAAACACCACGAGTTTCTTCATAGATAAGTCCCGAAATACGTTTAACTCCTCCACGACGTGCGAGGCGACGTATTGCTGGTTTAGTGATTCCTTGAATATTATCTCGAAGAATCTTATATGACGCATTGCTCCTCCTTTACCAAGTCCTTTACCACCTTTACCACAGCCTGTCATTTTGGTATTTAGATAATACTTTGTGTGTGTTAATAGTTGTATTTATAATCCTGCGTAAAATTATATAACTGATAACGATAAATTATATATCCTAATTTATATATCTGACGTATAGTTCTCCTTTACCTGTTACAATGGACTTAATTAATTAGCGTTTAGACATGTTAAAAATTGAAGTTCATATTTATTGGCTAAAAAAAGTTCTATTATTTATATTTTTATGCAATAAATTCAATTAATTTTTTTTTTAATTTGAATCAAAAAAAAATAGAAAATATATTATAAAAATTATTATAATACTTCAATTTTACTTGTATTGATTGTTTAATTTTTGATTTATTGTTATAACTAGCAAAAAAATTAAATTTTATTTTATTTTTATTTTATTTTTCTATATTGCTATTACATATAACAAAAATTTTTATTTAAAAAACTTAATATTAGATATATATTAATATTTACTCTTTTAGATAATCACTAAAACCAAAAATACAAAAAATTTTTAAAAAAACTTTTATATAGAAATTAGTTAATAAAAATATATTAAATTTTTTTAAAATAAAATTTTTTAAAACTTTAAACAAAAATAATTTTAGCAAAAACAATAAATTTTTAAAAATTTATTTATTTATTTAAAGTTATAAAAATATTTTAATAAAAAATATCTAATATATATTTTTTTTCATTTAAGTAATCTTACTTATTATTTATTAGATGAAATATTAAAAAAAATATACAAGATACAAATTATAAAAGTTCTTAAACTAAACTATAACTATATTCTTCTCTTGCAATTCAGAATTTATTTGAAGATCTGGTAATTTTAGTATAGTAATTAGATTGTCAGATCACTATACAAGAGGTCTGGAGTTCAAATCCTACTGTTAACAAATTTGAATAATTACCTGGATCTTTGTACTCAACTTACAATAAACTCTGTTCATTTCTGAAGTTGTAACTCTGTAAATCATGTTGCACTAATATCATTTAGATATTGGAAGTGTAATGAGATATTTGAAGAGATATAATATTATATGAATAAATTTTAATAAAATCTACAAGCAAAGGATCTGCATAGTAGAAATTCTGAGTTGATAAAGTAGTATAGCTTTCAACAGTCATATCAGCTAACACTTGATTCAGAAAAGAAACTATTACTCTGAAAATATAGATTGAGAGAGGTATGAGTAAGTCTATTCTACAAGAAGAATCAGTAACACCAACTTGACTTGGTAGCTAACTGAATTGGGAGAATTTATTTCGTAAAATATTCAAAGAGATTAGCAAACAAAAAACTAGTAAAGAACTACAGTAAGAACTGAAGTTGTACAAATATCTACAAAAGTCTAAGCTAGATGAATTTGTAAAATAGGTATAGACTGCTCTAGTAGATTTACTTTGAGATTAACTGAAGCTTTGTGAGCTTACAATATGTTAAGCAATAAGCATCCTGAGAGGATATAAACTGGAATTGAAAAATAGATCTGTAATAAGCTAGCTAATTTAAGTGATTAGGTGTTATAGTGAAGTTAGCTTGTAACAGTATGAGTTAGTTAAACAAAGTGTTTAAATAGGTAACTCATAAGCAGGTTACAGATATAGTAGCATAGTATAAAACTAATCAGGTAGTCTATTGTCTGTATAGTGGACTACTTAAATTAGACAATGACTAAAGTTGTACATGTGGCTTGTTGTATACTCTTCATATAATTACAAACTGTAGGGATTATCTATATGTAATCTTATATATCAAACTAATAAAAATCACCTAGTAATGTAAGCTAATTTAAAAATAAAAATAAAAAAAAGAATTCATTTGACTACCAACTAGTGTTTAAATACAATCTGTTACAGAAGCTAGTTTTCTTTTTATAGTAATTCAGACATTATTCTTGAATTAGTAAAAGTAATTTCAGACTTTATCAAGATCATAAATCTTTTCTAACCTAATTAACACTAAGTTATAAGTAGTTAATATCTAGTTTTAGAATAGAAAAAATAAAATTATTACTAATTTAAAAATACTAAGCTTACTTATAAAGAAAAATTTACTCTAAGTAGTAACATAATAAAAGAAACAGAATATATATAGAAACTAAAAAAATATAACCAAACATCCTGTTGTTACAAGTATTAGCCTTCTTATTACAACACAAGTAATATAAGACACAGAAGAAGAACTCTCAATAATATCTAAGTAGAATATTACTTTACTATAGTAGTTCATTACAAAGTTAATAAAAGAGTAAAGATTATATTTTATTTAAGATACAATATTGATAATACAAGACTATTTATTAGTTTCAGTGCTAAGAGAATTCTAATATTAGGGAAATTGCAGAAGTCAAATCTAATCTGAAGTGAAGAAAAAAGGTAGATTTATATAGCTTTTTACAACTAGTAATAAGAACTGTAAAAACTATAAGAACTGTAAGAACTATAAGAACTATAAAAACTATAAGAACTATAAAAACTATAAGAACTGTAAGAACTATAAGAACTGTAAATTATGCTAAAGTTATTTCTAAGATAATTTAAAAACTAGAAGTCTTACAGATATAAAATATAACTCTTTAAAAGATCTAATCAAGCTGAATCTAATGGTATAGTTTAAATCTATCTTTAACTACTAGACTATTTGTAAAAATAATAATAAATTAAGTATATTCAAGAAATTTAACTATTTGTAATAATAAAATACTAATAATAAAATAATAAGAATAAAATAAGTAAAACTTATTTTATAATATTAGAATTTAAACTCTAGACCTTTTGCATAGCAGTCTAACAACTTAACTATTATACTAAGATTATTAGATCTTTTAGAATTAATTTAAATATTTGTTATTTAAAAAAAAAAGTAGTAATTTTAATTGTTTTATTAAATTGTAGTTTGAATTTTGTAATTTATAGTATATTATCTATATATACTAGAACTAATATATTTGTGTAAATTTTGTTAATTTATTTTATTTTTTTTTTTTTTATATATTAAGTAATCTTGCTTATTATTATTTTTTTTTTTTTTTTGTTATTAAGGCGGCTTACATTGCCGAAGGAATTTTATTAGAATTGCATATGGGATATACATTGATAGTCCCTACTGTTTGTAATTACATGAAGAGTGTACAACA